TTAAGGTTAGTGACACAAAAAAAATCCTTGACATGAAAAACGTTTTAAGGTTAACAACAAGAAGAAAAATATTTGACGTGAAGAGTACCTTATGGTCAATGACAAGAAGAAAAAAATTCTTAACATGAAGAGTGTTTTAAAGTTAATGACAAGAAGAAAAATCCTTAGCTTGATTAGTGTCTTAAAGTCGGTGACAAGAAGGAAAATTCTTGGCTTGAAGAGCTTCTTAAGGTCAAAGACAAAAAGAAAAATTCTTAACGTGAAGAACATTTTAAGGTCGACGACAAGAAAAAAAATCCTTAATGTGAATAACATTTCAAGGTTGACAACAACAACAAAAAAAAAACTTTGGTGTGGAAAACATCTTAAGGTGCACACTAAATAAAATGACACAAACAAGATAGAGTTGAAATCAATCACAATAAGAAACTAACAAATGTTATTTTGAGAATAGGACCAAACAACTATTTAAATACAACTTGAAATACAAGAGGATTGAAAAATAACAACTTGATAAACAACCCATCAATTATAAACTATTTGATAAAATACAATACTTATAAAACACAATTTTGACAAATTATTAATCAAATATTTAGGCATCTAATGAACATGTTTGACAAACTACACATTAATTATTTGAAAATTCAGAAGGTGATCGAGCATTTATAAACTAATTAATGAAATATGAAACAATTAATAAAGAACACTTGCCACATTGCTGACCATTTACTAAACTCTATATGAAACACATAATGGTCAAATCACACAATTCTCAACTATTAAGTGATATTGATTCAAAAAGGTACTACACTCAACTAAAACTCGACTTGTGCATAAATGAAACACTCACTCGAATACTAATTCTTAGTGAAAGGCATTTTTGAAACATGTTACGATTACTGTCAAATAAAAACTCAAAGAAATCATAACTCTCACAATAATCGATCAAATCCCATCTCAAACCCAAATGGATAACTCGGTCGAATACTAATTTTAAGTGAAAACATGTTGGATCCTAGCAACCAAAAACACTTTAATCAACCAAAATGTGTGAGTAACAAAATACAATGACAAACAACAAGCCAAAATTATTAAAAGTCAAGAGACAATGTAACATTACACTAGTCCACTGACCATTAAAACTCCGCTCGAATTTGGAGGAATGTACACCTATCACTTAGACTCTTCATACCTTTGGCACTAGAACCTGAAAGGTTATATACAATGTTAGTCTTGTGCCAATCAAGTGAGTCAAACACAAATTTTGCAAGATCATATAATAAAATAAGGAACATGTCCATAATATTGTCTTAGTGTATATACAAGGACTCCTAAGTCTAAGAGAAAATTAGATTCTACACTTATTGAATACTATATCGGAATAATTGCTAAAATCTGTCAAAAAGAAGTTTCATATCGGAATAATAATTAATAAAGGTAAATTTTATTTTTCTTTCTAATTGTTTGAGTTTAGTTAAAGTGGTACGCGTAACTGAACCACATATTTAATAATATCTAGAATTACATCCAGTCATCTAGCATAAGTGGACAAATTCTAGGTTAGTAATACTATAATAAGAAACGACAAACCCATGATAATAAAGAAAAAAAAGGAAGTAATCATGCTGTTTTTAATGCATTCTACATATTTAAAAATTAGAGTTGGGACTTGATATATATATATCTTTTACATGACAAGTTTGTCGTCATAGGTGGTCCGCTATATACTGAATGAATCTGTCTTTGATTTAATATGAAGTTCAAATTATTACTGTGCATTCTGTGCACTATAGTTTCATTGTCTTTTTTGATCTCAGCAACCTTCGTGGTCGGACACCATTGGAGCACTGCCAACCACAACACATCGATGGTATTGTCCACCATCATTTCCGCCGTTGTGCCAGATTCACACATGTGCGCCTCCGCCGTTGTGGTAGACATGTGTTTCATCGTTGCAGATCTACGCTCATATTTTATTTATGTGAGACAATTCTATTTAAATAAATAAAAAAAAAAGTTATTATAAGTGATAAAATTTTCAATTTGAATGTTTAACATAATCACATAATTTATTAGATGTTTTCGAGTTAAATTTAAATCTACTTACTAAGTTATTAGATTTGGTTGAGCTAACTTATTAATAAGTATTTATAGGAAAGAAAAATAAAAAACGAAATAAAATTTTTTATAAATTAAAATTAGTTAATGTGTAAACTAATTTATATAGATGTTCTTTGTTATTAACTTCTTTAAAATATTATTTTTATTTAATGTACATATAAAAAAACTTATCCAAACATGTCATAATTAATTAATTTAAATATGTGTCTGTTTGGGTAAGTAGTGACAAAACCTATTTTGAATAAAATTAATTTTACAAAATTAAGTTGGATTTGGATGAACATTTATGTATACGTGAGTATACGGTTTGATTTAGGTTGAATTTTGATTATTTTAATGTCCAAGCCAATTAAACTTAATTGGATGAGTTAATTTGTGAACTTCTTTTAAAGTGAGAAAATACATTAAGTCACTAAAATGAAAAGTAAACATATTTATAAAATCATGTGTGTAAATGGCTAGGATCCGATCTAACTCAATTACAATTGTGTTCAAGTTTGGTCATCGAGATGAACAATTGAAAAATAAATGTATTTTTAAAAATTGAAACAAATAAGAAACATAAAAAAATTCTTAATTCAAACTTTAATACATAATTCAAAGTATAAACAACAAATCATATATGATGAATCACTCAAATCTCAAACAGTATAAGTCACTAACATAACAAATTTTAAATTACATAATAAGTATAATTAAATTATTATTGTTTCTCTTTATCTTTTTCAATTTAGCCATTCAACTCATTTCTACAATATTTAGCAAAAACTACAATTAAATATATGTAATATTTTTAATTTAATATAATAACTTATTATAGGTCAAGTTAGAATCCTTGACCTATTACTTAGTCCAATTATAATTGTATAGTGTAAAAATTACTCAATCTAATCTGATGACCCAACCCAATCCATAAAAATGAAATTGAATGAGTTCAAGTATGTCAAATTTGCAGATAAACCATTACTCACTTACACTCTGACCCATATACCTTATCGATGTTTTATAACTTGAATTATAAGGAATTAGTTCTTACTAAAATGCAGAGTCCTTATTTATCTTTTTAAAATTACTTTAATATTTATTTTACATTCTTTACAAAATGTGAAATTATCTAATAGGCAAAAAGAAAAACGAGTTTTTGAATTATTTCTAATACATGTAAAAAAAAATTAGAAAGACATCTAGCAATTTTCTAAAATACAAAATAAATAATTTAAAATTATGAAACAATATACATAATTGACTTAAAATAAATAAATAATACACATAATTTATAATTGTTTTGAGATAGAACTAATTAAATAGTGCTAATCAGAACATAAGAGAAATTATCTAAATTTATCTTTATTAAATTAAAATTAAAAGATACATGAATTAAGGGAAAGAAAAAAAAAAGTTCAACAACAATTTGTAAAAATAGTACAATAATTTTCAAAACAACCATTCCAATTCAATAAAAAAAATTGGCAAATTGTTCATTCACAAAAATAAAATAAACTAAAAGGATCTGAATGCTAAAATAAAAAGCAGTTAGAAAAAAAAGAAAAAGAAAGAAAATAGGACTTGTAATGCCTTTAGGTTATTATATACTTATTTAGGTTATTATCTTCTCCATTATTTCAGGAATAATTATAGTTACCTCGATTATGTTGTGTATATATCATTATATCTGCTTATCCCATATTTTATCTCTTATAATGATATATGATTATGAGTATAGCTTTAATAAAATATAGAGTTAACATAGTGTAACCAAAATAAATTTATCAACTGGTTTCGAGTTGATCATCTACTCTCTTATTGGTTTCTAACAATACGGGCTTCTATTTACCAATAAGTTTAGAGGGTCTATGAAAAAGAGTTATTTGATCGGTTAAATTTTGATCGGCCGTAAATCTAATAGGGTCCAATAATTAAGGGAAATAATAATTTTAAGTGTAGATAACTTAAGTTTGATACAGAACTAAAAGTTTTACATATAAATTTAAAATAATTAAAATAAAGTTTTAAGAAAACAATCTTGAAATATTAGAAAAATTCAAAAATAATTGATAATTATAAATCTTAAAAAATAAAAATGTTCAATAATAACAAACTCATATATTACAAAAGAAAGAATATAATAAAAAATACTTTTTCCATTGAAAATAAAAAGGTTATATTTATAATATAAGAAAATACTACATCCTTCATACACACATATATTATAAAATATTTAATGAAAATAAATATTATTATATTTAGACTAAAATGTCTTTTTTTTTTCTGACAAAAAAATGTCTTTATTTAATACCTTGATTCTCGATGCTTGCATCACTAGTATTATTAAATAAGAGTATATTTGATAGAAAAATATTATCTGTTTTCTGATAAAATAAAAAAAAACTTAAATATCTTTAAAATATGAGAAGGACTGAAGGAGGTATTAATATTTTGAAACAAACAATTTTCTAATGTACATCAACCTTTTTCACGTGCCGACCCCATAACTTTATAGTCTACAAATGTGTCAGATTTTTTGTTTTGTATTTATAGTACATATGGTTATTTTGTTGTAGTATTGTACTTCCAATTGATTCCATATACGTTATTATCAAAACTACATAAAATGGTGATGAGTTTTATAATTCAAATTCAAAGCACAAATTATTGAAACAAGTATTTGGATATAAGGTAATTAATGTGCAAAATCCAAGTTTGAAAGTATTAGTTCCATATCTGATAAAAATAATCTTTAATTAAATTTTATTTACCTTTTAGTTGAATTAGATAAATTTATGATAAAACTTTTACGTTCCATACAAAATATTTAAAAAAAAAGAGTACATTATTGACAACAATCATTAAAAAATTAGCATAAAGATGTGTTGAGAAGAAAAAGCAAGACAGCAGGTTCTAAGCACCTTGGATAGAATTAAATATTGAAATTCCCAGAAGAGATGAAAGAATTATAAATTGCAGCTAACATAGAGTGATTCACAACCCAATCATATGGTGCCAATCCTAGGATCCAACATGTCCCAAACACTAAAGTGCAGAACGCAACACCCAATGAACTCCACTTTGATGAAGTCACTGTCCCACAAGCCAAAGAACATACCATTCATAAGGTGTTATGCCAAAAAATCTGGTGATGTTGCCAAGATCATGGCTTCTGCTACACCTACAGCGGCCCCCATCACGTTTGGATTCAGGAATTTGTTGGAAACCTTCACTGTCGATGTGCATAGAGCAGAGAACAGGCCACTGAATGTGCCATTAATTGCCCCTTTTACCATTGCTACCTCTAGATTGGACAAGGTGGAGAACGTGGCTATAAGAGTTGAGTTGAGTAACGGTGCTGTGGGGTGGGGTGAGGCACCAATTTTGCCTTTTGTCACTGCTGAGGACCAAACCACGGCCATGGCCAAGGCTTCTGAGGCATGTGCCTTCTTGAGGAGATGTCCTGCTCTAACATTGGGTTCCATGTTGGGGGAGATTGCTGCTATTCTTCCAGGGCATCAATTTGCTTCGGTGAGTTTAATCAATCTTAAAGTCTATATAAATACAAGTTAGAAGTACTTACATGTTAATCACTATAATCCTCTAGTGCTTCTCACTTGCTGTCTCACTTCTTGTACTTTTTAAACTGATATGGTCTTGACCCTTTTACCGTACAAATTCCTGGAATTTTGAAGAACAGCTTTAGTTTTCTACTTGGTAACAAAGGACATGATGAAAGGAGAGTTACAAATTTTGAGAAAGTTTAAATTTTCAGTCAAGGAGCGTATGTTGTAATATTTACTGGTTTGACTTTTCTCCTCGTGTAACTTTTAGGTTTTTTTCTTTGATTTGCTTTATTTTAGGAAAATAACTTCTTACATCCTTGTTTGCTTAAAATTTGTTAGCTTTCTCAGTTCTGGATTCGATATTAAGATAATTCAAGAGAAAGAAGGGAAAAGGGTCTTTTTAGAATCCTCTCTTTATAATGATCATACTCTCTATCCAGATTGATGCATTTTATTTTTATTTTTACTAATACAGAAAGATAAAGCATAGTCTTACCGTAAGGAGAGAGGAAAGGGGAAAAAGAATAAAGCGTCCAGATTTTAAATCTTTCTATTACTGAGACTGAGACTCTTGTATGATATGCATGGTTTGACGAGTGTGTTACTCTCAGTGGTTACATGCTACCAGTATATGCATATATGCTTTGATGAAGTAAAGGAGAGATGTCATGGGAGAACATTGATGTGCATTACCAGTTGATTCGGGTTCATTTACTAGGATGTGAGATAATGATAGCCTGAAATAAATGAGATCTTAACCATTGAGTGTTAGGTGAATACTGACATTAAATGGAGTCTGATATGGATACTCAGATACATAATTTCAGACCTTTCTCATATCAGTTTTTACTTTATAATTATCTCCTTCACGTTCTCCTTCCTTTTTTATAAGACTAAATTAATTCACATTAATAACTATTTGCCATTTGCAGCTCATAGCATTAACCTCTTTCCCCACCAAATTTATTTCATCTTAAGAAATTAGTTGTTAATATAAAAAATAGAAATTAGTAGTTACTTCTTTATGGAGAAGCAACCTGAGATTATTTTACAGTGGATATTGGCTTCTGAACTTAAAAAAAGATTTCATAAGATATTCATGTTAATTTTTTATGTACTATTTTATTGCTCTTGGTGGAAAAATTGGCTAATACATGAATCTGGTTGTAAAATCACAGCACACACATTTTTGTCTTTTGACTTTGTTGGATTTCATAATAAATGTGGCAGTAAAACTTTTTTCATTCTCATGGGGCCCTTCCTGTCTGTCTAATATTGAAGGTTAGAGCTGGGGTGGAGATGGCGATAATTGACGCTGTTGCAAATAGTATTCGTGTGCCATTGTGGAGGCTTTTTGGCGGGGCTTCAAATACCATAACCACTGATATTACAGTTAAGTTCTTACTTAGTGTCAAATAAAATACCTATGATGAACATAATTTTACAAAAAGTATGTGAAAAAAAAATGATCTTCTAGAAAGAAATCTAAGCCATCTTATATATGCAGATCCCGATTGTTTCTCCAGCTGAAGCAGCTGAATTGGCTTTTAAGTACTATAAAGAAGGATTTAAGACATTAAAGCTGAAAGTGGGCAAGAATCTAAATGTAGACATAGAAGTGCTTCAAGCTATACGTGTTGCGCACCCTGAGTGTCATTTTATTCTTGATGCTAATGAGGGGTATAACTCTGAGGAAGCAGTGGAAGTTCTTGAGAAATTACACGGTTAAAAGCTACATAGTTAAAGTTTTTTCTTCATGCAAATAATTGCCATTATCTTGCGATGCAAGAAAATGCCCACATGCACAAACATATATAGTCATGAAACTTAGTACAATGTTTGATTGAATAAACTTTTTCATAAGTACTTTTATGAAGAAAAAATAAAATGTTTCTTCATTAGTTAAAATTAACTTATACATAAATTAATTTATAGAAGCTTTTCTCCAAAAATTTACAATAAATTTATGCATAAGTTAGTTTTAACTTATAGAAAAACTTAATTATTTTTTAGTTTATATTTTTTCATCTTAGAAGTGTTTCTGAAGTTTATCCAAATAGGCCAATATTATTTTAGAAAGTTTGGCATTGAACTTGTATTTGTTTTCTATTATTACAGATATGGGGTTGACTCCTGTCCTATTTGAGCAACCAGTTCATAGAGATGATTGGGATGGTCTTCGATATGTGAGTAATATAGCAAGAGAGAGGTACGGAGTATATGTTGCAGCTGATGAGAGTTGCAGAAGCATAGATGATGTTTACAAAATTGCGGAAGGGAATCTTTTAGATGTCATTAACATTAAGCTTGCAAAAGTTGGGGTAATGGGTGCCCTAGAAATTATTGAAAAGGCAAAAGTAGCAGGATTAGATTTGATGATTGGTGGTATGGTTGAGACTAGACTGGCTATGGGTTTTGCTGGCCAACTTGCTGCTGGCATTGGCTGTTTCAAGTATGTACTAATGTTTGAAAATTTTGAGCCATTTTTCAGGTTTTATAGCTTCATATTGTTGATGCATTTTTCAATTTTCCTTTTGTGTTGTTCACCTTCAATTTTATTAAGAGAAAATAAGCTATGATCATTCAATCATTCATTACTATGTGTGATAAATTTGTTGACTTTTATAATAAATAACTAAAAAGTTATATTAATGATGATTTATGATTAGTTGACAATGTTTTACATTGTCAATGTGCATAGCCATTAAACTCTTTTATTAATGCATTTAAATATTTCAAACTCTTTTGTAGGTTCATTGACCTAGACACACCACTTTTGCTGGCAGATGATCCGGTTCTTGAAGGCTATGAAGGTACACTCTGCATAATATCCATATGTTGCTCCTAAATTTTAGGTTTTCATATAAATATTGGTTTGGTTGATGTCCTTGCAATGTGATGACACTATTGCGTTTCTCTTGAACAGTTTCAGGTGCCACTTATAAGTTCACAAACGCTAGGGGACATGGTGGATTCCTTCACTGGGACAATATTGCTGAGTAAGTTGTGATTTTCTTGCACAATACAAGTCCAGATAATTTAACATAGTTGCTAACATATGCTAGATGATTTCTGGTGTAAGATTCATGGCATAAATAATGTTTTACACCTTAAAAGGAAGCTGTTCAAGCCTTATGCTTGGTTGGAACTTGGAAAGCAAAATACTTGTTGAAGATGTAAAACCATATTTCAACAATTCACCTAATAACAATAACTTAAAGGAGAATTGAAGGTTTCTATGCCTAAGTGGTCTAGAGTTTGAGCTTTGCTAGCCCTTCTTCAAGTTAAATGTAGAGTGAGAAGCTAATCCACCTTTCAAACACAAAAGGGTTCTTGCATGACAAGGCACGTTTGACTGTTTAAGAATAGAGATATAACCAACTTGAGTCTGCGCAAGTTCTCAAATAATTATTCCAAATGCACAAGGTAGTAAAGCCAAAATCTCCTACTAATCACCCTTAGAAAAGTTCTTTCTATCAAATTAAGGGTTTGTTTTTTATAGGTCAAATCAAATGTTTGTCTGTCACCCTATAACAAAAGAATAATGATTCCCTCACCACTCTTGGCTGTAGACACTCATAAAGGGATAGAAAAAGAGGAAGAAAAAAAAGTGTTTGATATAATTGATAATTTGATGTTACAAAAAGAAATGAGTTATGTATAACGGATAGGGTTACTGTTTGAGAATCATTATTCATAACAAATTAATCTTATATACTTACGTGACATATGCTACCTTGATTATGACATTTATTAAATTATGTGCAGATATTAGAGATGTTTACGGGAACACAAGATCTGGAAAGCATAAATAGGCAAGTACTTGGTGAGAAGGTTAATGAACCTGCCTAATTAAACAGCCATATATACGTGAAGTTTTCTTGTCCGAAAGGAGTAGATAACTAGTAACGCCCAATTGACAATTGCTGTGTTTTCACTTATTCGATTCCTCATCGTATGTATTCTGGGAAAGAAACTGGCAAATAGTGACCACGAATATGATATGAGATTCAGGGTGGACACAGTCAGGTTGGGTCGGAATATTTAGATTCAAACCCAATAATATTATTCGGTTTTGATTGCAAAGTGTAGAGAAGTAATGTGAAATCAAATTACCCATGTTAAAAAGAATAAATAAATAAATCTTAATTGACTCTTT